CTTAGTGTTTGGCTTTTTTTTTTTTGTTAATTTTACGGTAAACTGGTCTCAAAACTCTAAACCTCTGCTGGGCAATAGCACAGGCTCATCCTTCATGAAGCCATCCGGGCGCCGCACATGCGAATGTTTTAAGTTTAGGGTTTGGGATTTGGGGTGTGGGTTTTAGCCGGCTAGGGAATTCTTGGGAGCTGATGCTTCAACACTATGACCACATCAAAGCCAGCCTTGGTGGTACCTATATGATTCGAGGGTAGGTACCTGAAATTTAAAAACATGCCGGGGGTGCTGGCTTAAACTTGACCGCTTCAGACGCGAACCGTAGTCTCATACAGAAGTTTCCAGTTCTGGCAAAGGAGGGAGATACATCGGTGGAAGCCTTCCGGGTGTTGGCAGCAATAAGGATTCAATCATGGGATTCCGGCACAGACTTATCTGAAGCTGAAGATACTGCAAGACGCAACTTGCACAAAGCTTACGTTCCGAGTTGTTGCAGAGTTTGTTGGCGTGCTCGACGCAAAATTGTCGTAGTAGTGGCCCTACACTTGTGACCTGAACATTATGCTGGCTATTACTGTCGAATGCATATAATTTGAAGTGAGGTCTCAGAGTCCAGATCCCTATACCCTAAACCCAAGGGTCCTTAAAACTTGAGCCTCTACCAACCAAATCTGTATCTATGAAACTGAAAATGCGCTGCGTAGAAGTCGAATACGAGAAACCGCAAACGCACCATGGAGACTCAGTGACCTGTACATCCCGACTGAGGAGCAGCGACCAATTCTGTTGGCAGTCTTGCCTGTGTGGAAGAAATACATTGTGAAGATTGGGGTCAGCAAAAACAGCTCTGAATTCTCACTGTCTGAGGTACAGCGCAGGTTCAAGGGAGGGGCGTATGATATAGTTTACCTACGCTGGGTGAGCAAGTTGTGATGGTCGAATGGTCCAGCGGGCATTGATGCCAACAGCGCAGGGAGCTAAAGCAGTGTCACTACTTATGCGGTACAACGGTCTGGTACATTCCGGTGCTACGCTTGCATGAACGCGCACTCTTCCCTGCTACAGTGTAGCCCCCGGCTTATTCCAGCAGTGTTGGTTTACAATGGTGCCATATCTCGGTCTCCGCAAGGAAGTGTTTCAAAGCCACTGGCCTGTTGTTTGCCTGCGGTAAGAATTAATTAGTTAGGGCAAACCTCTCACAGCAAAGCCCATGTATGGAGATGTCTGCAGACGCATGGCAAGACCGGATGGTCTCTGGTGTTGTGGGGAACGCAGCAGCTTTTGCAGGGTTTGCGCTTGTTGAACACCTACAGAAGTCCAGGTGCTGTTTCGTACCATGGTGACTACGGCGACCACGGTTGCTGCTAAGTCTCCTGTTAATATTCATCCTCTTGCTCCCCCTCCCCCTGCCACGACTGCCACTAGTACTCGTACTGCTACTTCTATGCCTACTCCTCTTCCAACAACAACGACGACAACTACTACGAACCCACAGTGATCCCCTGGCTGTTACCACCATGATCTCGGCCACTGATATCAATTCTCTTATTGCCAAGGCTGCCCCCCCCCATACAAGTCACATTAGTCGCTTGCGCACGTTTTTCACGAATGCTGGTCGCAGAAATGGTCTTGGCGACCCACACAAGCTTGGCTACATATGGGCACGACACAAACGGGAAGACTGCTTGTGGTCAGGTCTCCAGAGAAGCCATTAAATCATGGCCACAAGAAATGGTCAGCGCACGCTGCAAATTAGGCGCAGATTCACGCCAGTGCATCCCGCTGGAGAGGAGAAATTGAGGTTTGTTTGGGCCCTCATGGTGTGTTGGCCACTTTCCAGCGAGTGTTGCTACTGCTTTTTGTATCCTATTGTTGTATTCCTCGGGTGTGGTATTGATCGTGGGTTGCCAAATGTTTGTGCCGCTCGGCACTCTCTCCAGCCAGATCCTGTAGAAAAAACAACGTGATCGTCACATCTGTCGCTCGACTCGGATGACACGATCAGTCTACCTCGGTCAGGGGTCAGGTCTTTTGCCAAGAGATTGGAGGGTTCAAGCTCAAAGCACAACAAAAGTAGATTGTAGCACAACGGCCAACTGCTCGACAAGCCCATCAGGCATGCCACACAGAGGTTCTCATCCAATGCTTTTTCAGGACACGGCTATAGGAGCCAAAGTAAATCTTGGCAAGTGCATGGGACTAAAGCTATAACTAACCAGAAGAGGGCAGGTTTCAGAAAAGGAGCCTGCTCTGCCCTCGGTTAGCGCCCTATTAGGACCCTCGCCCTATTAGGACCCTAGCAACGCCAAAGCCGCAGATGCTCAGTGACTCGGGCAAGGAATTTCAACCAGCGGCGTGCCAAATCTGTAAACAATAAGTGTTGACTCAAAGTTTGACGGGGATTTGGGAGGTGTGGATCAACTCATCACCATCATAATGCATCATCCATGCCTGGCAGCACAATCCC